GTAAAACACTGCGGTTTTTCATAATTTCTGAGTAAGCTATTCGTAGGAATTGAAATAATTCTTGCATTTAAACTTGTATTTGAAATTAAGATTTAACTTAAAATTAAAGTAGATAATTACTGAGAGAATTAGATTTTTCTAGCGTAGTCTATGTGAGAAGAGATCACTTGGGGTCACGTGATATGTAACGGCAAATCAAGAAGTTGTACAATAAAAGCATAGTGAATTCTTTAATGTCTTTTTACAAATTTATCGTCTTTATTTATTGTCTTTTTACAAAATTTCAAACGATATTAAAATGTTTAGGCCTTCAAAACAAAAAATTCTTAAGAACTAATATTTGTTAACATTTTTTATGTGTATACTGTGTGTTGTCGCCAATCAAGTCTGCTTGGCGAGATATGCGCCGGCGAAACGGAAAAGTACCAAAAATTTTTTTCTTGATGTTTTAGCAAATTAATCGATATACAGTTACACTTTTTAAATAATGAATAATAGTTTGTTATCCAAGGTAAGTAATTTTTCAAGTCAAATTAAACAGGTACTTAAATATTTACAACCTAAAATAAATGTAATGAGCTATAAGCAGTTTTTGCCAGTAATTACAAAAATTAACTATATATTTTTAAAATAATTGTTTGATTTAAATAAAATGAGTATTAAAAATTACCAAATGTTAAGAGGAAATAAAAATTCACACAGATAAAGAAGTTATTCAAGAAATACAGTCAAAAGTCGTTAATCCGGACTCGTCGGGACTTCAGCGATTCAAGATTATAGATCATCAGTTTAAATCTGGTAAGATGGCATGCAGAAATTATAAAATTAAAATTATGAAAGGGCTTAATATTTATTTGTTTATTTTATTAAACATTTCTTTCAACGTGCGCATGCGTAAAGCATACATTATGCAAAATTGAAATTACAAAATTGCAACCAGAAAACTATTTGATATGTATTCGTGATAGTTATAATGACGAGGAATTTGATTTAAATCATATTAAAGACGGAGTATATCAAGATGAAATACTACATTTAGTAAGGAATTATAAGCTGAATAAAATAAAAACATCTGCACCAAAGATAAGGATAGTGCTGACAGATCAACTTCCAGTTCATTGCGTGCCACGAAGTTTTCCTTCCTCCCGCTTTTATGAATTTCACGCTGCTCTGCAGCGTGAAATTCATAAACAGATTTCGGAATGGTTAGAGAAACAAAGGATATGCCTTTATCCATTTTTTGAAGCAATTCCACTTTTTGTTTGATGGACATCGAAACATGCTTTCACTTTGTAGATCCTTTGAAATTCTATTTAACATAATCAAAAGTTCAAGCTTACTCTTATAAAATAGCTCTAACAGTCTGCAAAAAATAATAAGCCGGATACAATTCGAAGATTAAGGAACAACGCAATCTGCAACATTAACTGAAATAGATAATTTTAGCTTAGTTTATACTGTCTGTTATACATTATATTAACACGCATGCGTGAACGTATTATGTGCATGCGCACACATGTATCCGCATGCGTAAAAGTATTACGCTAATGCGTAGATGCATGCGCAGAACGTTTGTAGCTTTGAGGTCCAGATTACAGATATTATAAAATGGCTCACATAAGTGATGGGACACTTACTTTTCCATCAAATATTTATCCAAAAATTTTACTTTTTAAAAGGTTTTAATATTTTGTTGGATTTCCTTTTACTTTTAAAACACGATTTAATCTTCTTGGGATGGGTTCGACTAATTCTTTTGTGATTTCTGGAGTGATTTTACCCCATTCTTCTTGAAGCACCAATTTTAATTGTTGTTTTGAAGAAATGGTGCATTGCGAATTCTTGATTCCAATTCTTGCCAAATATTCTCTATGGGATTTAAGTCTGGAGATTGTGGTGGTGTTTTTATTATTTCAGGACAGTTATACAGCAGCCAGAGTCTAACGTTCAAAGCAGTGTGCTTGGGGTCATTGTCCTGGTAGAATTTAAAATCGTCATTAAGGTTCAATTTTCGTGCTGAAGATTTCAAATTTTGATTTAAAATGTCAATACATTTGTACTGATCCATTATACTGTCAATAAAAACAAGATTACCAGCTCCAGAGGATGACATACACCCCCATACCATAACGCCTCCTCCACCATGTTTAACTGTTGGCACCAAGTTCTGTTTGCGAAATTCTTCCCTGGGTTTTCTCCACACCAAGATTCTACCGTCAGAACCAAATATATTAAATTTACTCTCATCAGTAAATATAACTTCAATCCAGTAATCAGAATGCTTATTTTTACGTTGGATTTTGCGAAAGCCAGTCTGAGTTTTCTATTCTTTTCACTTACAAAGAATTTTTTCCTGGCTGCTCTACCGTGATATCCAGTAGATCGAATTACTCTTCTAATAGTCTCAGAATTAACAATTACTCCATATAATTCATGTAAATCAGCAGCAACTTTAAGAGGACTCATTCTTGGATTTTTTTAAATATTTCGAACGATAATTCGCTTTATTCCATTGGATAGCTTTGATAGTCAGCCAGGTCTTCTTTTATCCTGAATCATATGATTCTTTTTATATCGTTTAATGATATTGAAAACTGTTGAATGACTGAAGTTAACTGTTTCAGCAGTTTCTCTAATAGATTTTCCACGTTCAATAAGCAAATTAATAACTAATTTTCGAATTTCAGGCAGAGTTTCTTTTCGTTTAGCATTCATGGCTGCACAGAGCTAAAAAACCAAAAAATTCCAAAACAAACTGGAGAGAAATACTGCGGACGATTTTATAAATTATTGCTGGTTGATCTTTGGATTATGGTAACTTGGCGATTTCTTGGCGAAAATTTCGCGACCAACTCTGCTACAGCAACCCTCTATTTTTTTTTCCGCCGCCATTTTGTCTTCATGAAGTAAAGACATGTTTCTTTTCTTTTTATTTACTGAACACTTTTACTTTTTCCTACAATCTACTAGCCAAATTACACTTATACTAGAAATTTTATCTAACAAAACTGCTTAATCATGACAAATATTCACTGCAAAATTGGGAAAAAGTGCACAATCGCAAACTCCTTGCGCGTTTTTCACAATAACACATACACATAAACCATGTACATGTCGACTTATTTTTACTTAAAAAAACATCCCAGAATTGCATAAAAATGGCATTGTGCACACTCTTCACTATATCCATGTACACTGCTTTTTTCTCATAAATTAGAAAATTTCACGAAAATGCATGACAATTTTCTGAATCTTTAAACCCGGTAAAAAGAACATATATGAAATTACCTTATCGTGAAAAAGTATATACCCTTTCCAAATATGAACATTTCCACTTTTAAAATAAATAAAATATCTAAAAACTTTTACCTCTAAATTATCTATTATATTATAAACATCACCAACGAATTCATACTGCAAACATTACAAATACTTAGTGTCAAATATTTAAATTATTTCCATGCATTTACTTCAACTAAAACGTATACTAAATTCCTACAAACACAAAATTCACAAAAAATAACTATAATTTAATTAAAAGATCACTAAACCAGTACACACGTCGACTTATTTTTTACTTAAAAAAACATCCCAGAATTGCACAAAAATGGCATTGCGCACACACTCTTCACTATATCCATGTACACTGCTTTTTTCTCATAAATTAGAAAAATGTCCCGAAAATGCATGAAAATACTCAAACGTATACTACTCAAACATATTCAAAAATACTACAAACATATAACTCACAAAATCACGATCATTAAATTAAAATATAATTAAATTAAAAAACACTACTTAAAATATAAATAAGCACATACATTAAATTAATAAAAATTAGATTACAATCCTAATTACTTAAACTAAATCATTGCTAATAACAATTTTCAAATAATACCATTTAATTTATTACTCCTTACATTTAGAACAATGCATAAAAATAATATCCTCAAATGATTAAAAATACTAACTTACCTTAATCTTCTTCAGAATCTTCATTACGTCGCTGCAGTACTACTGCTAATTTCTAAATCCGAAATCCAGTAGTCAACTGGCAGTCTATTCACCCAGTAATAAGAAATTAATAAAATTTCACCCATACTCAAACTACTTTCAGCAAACCACGTACCCTTCCTTACACTCCTTTTCACAAAATGTCCATTTTCACCATATTTCTTGCACCGCCATTTAAACTTGTAATATCCTCCCTTTCACACAATCTCAACTTATTATTATTATCAGATAAACGCATTAAAAATTTAGAATTCACTTTACATAGCGCCATGCAATCCAAAAGTTAATCAACACTATTTTACACAACACACAATGAAGCTTTTCCAAATTAACCCCCTTTTCCGATTAAAGAACTGTAATTTGTCCATTAATGTCACCTTTCACACAACACAGAATATATCTAAATACTAAATTTCCAGATTTCCCCCCTTTTCCGATTAAACAACTGTAATTCGTCCATTAATGTCACATGTCATATCTCATGATCTCTCATTTCCCTCACACAAAATAATGCGTAATCGGAACCGAGTGCTTCTCACATTATTACCAAAGTCCTAGGTAGTAACCTTTATCGCCTCCAAAATGTCGTCAAACTACCAGTTACCATATTCCAAAGATCAGCCTTTTTGCCAATTGCTTTTGAGTAAAAATAAATACCCCAAAAGATATTTTTATTGCTTACTTCAGACGATTTTTGTTGCATAGTACATAGTGTCCCATCACTTATGTGAGCCATTTTTTGCTCCGTTCTCAACAATTGTTTTTGTATTAAATTAATATTTTAATAATTTGAGAAAATGTTATGTAATAATTGTTACTAAATTTAAGTATGAAACACACCCACAAAAAATGTCTACATGTTTTTTTAATTAATTTTATTACAGTTTCCTTTTGTAAAGCACAAGTGTCCCATTACTTTTGTGAGACACTGTATCATAATTAAATTTTACACCTATTAATATTAATAAACTAAAGCCAATACATACCTAACAACATAGCAACTTGAGTTTTAACCCAAGCTCCCTGGGCAACGTAGTATTTAAAGCGGTCAATATTAAGTGATATCAACTTTTCATTACGTTCATTTGGAAGAGGGTCATAAATTCCAATTAGTTCAATACCTTCACTGACACAGCGATCTAATACAGGTACAACTACTATGTGATAAAATGGTCTATTCGCGCAACCTTTCCTTAGCAGACGAATAGCTAACTGATTTGCAATACTTCTTGACATTATCAACGCAAATTTTAAGCACCACTGTTTACGGTGAATGAGCACTCTTCAACATAAACATTCCTATACTTTTGGTGCAGACAAATGTCTTGTTTTGCACCCGCTAAGTCTTTCTGCTCGATGCAAATACGAATTTTAATATCACGGGTACAGTTATAAGTAAAGGAAATACATCTAAATTTTCAGAGACTCTAAAGTTATATTCTGAACCACTAATGAATTAAAATTCAGTGCAAACAATTACAGCAATTAAGAAGTAATACTCGTGAAGATTTCATGGTTTTCACTATCGGTTTTTGAAGCTGAGTGCTATTCTACCTTCGCAAAACGCAATATTGTAATTAGAAAATTTACGAGTTACAGAGCTAGCTGCCTCTTTCAGATTCAAGACTATTATTGAGCATTGGCATCTAATCAGGCAAATCGTGTAATTGTAGCGGACGTACTTTGGATTCCGGTGTATTCCTCTTTTTAACAGATTTATGTGATAAGAGACCGACTGTCATGGTTTCGTGGTAATGTTTATTTAGTTTCATTATACATAGTGGTTAAGGAATGTATCTTGGTGAAAGCAATATTATTATGAGTTACTAATTATCTTAACTTTCGAAGAAACTGCTTCTGAGATTTAAAAAAGATGACATCTACTAAAGATGATTTTAATCCTTTTGAGGTAACATTTTTGCTGGTTAGTTTTGTAGAATAGATGTTTCTGTAGAGAAATTTAATGTTATATTTTCTTACAAGCATATTGATATACATATTAAGCATATTGATATACATGTTAAGCATATTACATAATGTGTACGCCCTCATCGTGATACTGCAGAATCCGTCGTACTGTTAAAATATCAATATTATTGGTGGATCAGGGATGAAATTTTAGAAGACCTGAGAAATCACTTCGTATTAAGCCCCTTCCCTTTTTCTTCCTTCTGCCAGAAAGTGTAATGCAATGTTTATTTTTTTTTAATAGTGAACGTTTTTATTAATAGCGTTTAGTTTATATATATATATATATATATATATATATATATAATAACTGGAGAAGATATTTCAAGCTTAATGATTATTGAAACTTAATTGATCCACTCCTTTACATCGCCAAGATAAAATATAATACGAAAATTTTACTAATAATATTCAGTCACTCTAAGTAGTTTTATAACTGTTCAGATTTTGAAGGAAATTTTGTTCTGATTTAGTTATAAACTGTTTGTTGAGTTTATTTCATTTATTTCATTTTTTCCCAATGTCAAGTTTGTTAGCTCTTTTGTATTGATGTTTCTTTCTCAGTCAAATATATTATTCATTTTGTACATCACTCCCTTTACATGCAATTGAGAGAAATATTTTGAATGTGATTTTTTTTTAATATAATTGCATTCAGTTTTACATTTCTGTCTACATTATAACCCTTGAATATAAATTGTCTATATAGTTCTATATGCAAAATTAACTTATACCATTCTATATGCAAAATTAACTGTACCATATTCTTGTATTTGTTAGAATTGTTAAAGAGTTCTTGTAGTTTCTATTAAACGGGGATAATACTTTGAGTCAGAATTCTATAACTGCAACACTTTTATTGTTTTTCACTTAGACATTTTCTGAAACTTCTTGGCAGTTCGCCAGCATGTTTAATTTTTGTTTAAACAGCTGGTGGTCAGCTCAAGTTTGTTAAAGTATGAAGAGTTGCATACCCAGACTGTGGTTGTTCATTTAACTTGATGTATTTTGTATAATTTTGTGCAGTATTTTTTGTAACTTTTGCAATATCTAAAATTATGGCTTGTGTTAATTTTCATAATTTATAAACTAATATGGAAAAAATTAGTTTGAATATTTCACTTGTAATGTAAGTAATAGTAAGATTTTTAGGTATATGCATTATATATTTTATAAGCATAATTTAAGAATATAAGTAAGATGGGTTTAGTTTTCAAGCAACCTTAATGTTTGCTATGTGTATTGGTACCTGACAAGTCTAACAAAATATATTAATAATTAACATAAAAATATATGTTCACACAAATCTTAAACGAAATCTTAACACCATCTTTAGGAATTTCATAAAGGTATTGATAATTAATATATTTTAGAATTGTATATTTTTTTAACATGGTATTTAATCATTAAGTTAACCTAAACTTAAATTTGTATCACTCTGAACAGAAAAAAAAAAAAAAAAAAAGAAAAAAGAAAAACGGTGTTCATAAATTGCATATTTATCTACAAAAATTATCAATGAACTCAAAAGTATAACTGCATGCTTGTTTGCTACAAGTATTTAATTTAAGCATTATTTGATAGGCAAATATGTAATGTAAGCTTTTATGATGCAAGATTCTTGCACTATGTTTGGATTCTACCCTTTTGTCAAGTTAAAAAATATCTCTTACTGAGAAAGAGTTTTTAATAATGTTGTAATAAATGGTCGGTTAATGAACTATTAGTACCGAATTATCACTGAATTCAAGTATTTATTATAGTTTCGAGAAGGGTTAAAATACCCCAGGGCTTAATTTCTAAAATTAAAAGTTCTGGAGCCCTACGAAGACTGTGAGGAAGGAAATAAATAAACACAATAGCTAAAAATTAAAATAATTAAATAATAAGTTTAAATCAATATTTATGAAGTTAATAAACAAACAAATTTAATTAATTAAATAATAAATTTAAATTTTAATAATTTAAAGATAAATCTAATAAATTATTAAATTAATTTTAAATAGTTAAACTGAAAAAAAAAAAGTATCGGACCTTGTCTTGTTTGGAGCATCGGCTGTATTTGCAATTCCAATTTGATGCTAAGAAGCAGCTCAGCCGAATCTCTGTCTGAGTTTAAGCCCCGATTATACATATAATGTTCTATTCCAAAGGATAACACTTTTTTGCAGCACCCTAAGTAAAAAATGATAAAACGATTGAAGCTCCACTAAGGAGAGTAGTGAGATTTCTAGAAACAGTATGAGGATATGGAAAGAAATTTAACGAAAAAGTGTATAAGGTATTTCTCCTGCTTTCTTAGCGTACCTTCGTGGTGTAGTGGTCAGCACGTTCGACATGAATTCAAGAGGTTCATGATTCGAGTCCCGGCGAGGGCATTGCTAATTTTTCAACTCTTCTGCTTCAAAATAACCTACGATTTTCCATGTAGAAGTAAGAACAGGAAAAGTCCTTCCTCAGCAAACAAGCAGCGGGAAAATACTCCGAAAGTTATGTGGCACTATCAAGTCGTAAAGCTTTTGTTCTTTTACAGCTTTGTAAAATCTTCCATATTTAGTCATTTTCCTTTTTGGGCAAAATGTATAATATTGCTGAACATTGCTAGTTTGCCATAAGTTAGAATATCAGAGACCAAGCTTTTATGGTTTTCATTACATTTAAGGAAAATACAAACCAGTTTCCCTCAGAAAGTCCTCCACAAATGGGATGGCATCTCTTCTCTAGTTATGTCTATGGAAACAGATAACCTTTGTATGCTTTTTTGTACTGATTTAAACAAACAGTAGTAAGCATATATGAAATACTGATTATAATGATGAAAATTTAATGTAATTGTAAGATCATATACATCGTCGACATCAAGCCGAAATCACGAATTAAACAACATCCCTTTCTGAAGGAAATAATTTTATTGACATGAGCTTTAGTTTGCAAAAATCGATGTTCTGCGCTATAGTTCTAACATGTTTAGCAAAAACAAATGCATTTTACTTTTTGGTCATAGTGCAGAACAGAAGAATAGCAGAAAAAAATTCAATATTATTATTAAAGGGTTCCGTTGTCCTCGAATAGGAATGGGAAAATATTATTAATTTTTTTCTTGTCCATTTACATCATATAATAGTTCAGATTCATGGCATAAAATTTTAAAATGATAGTTAATCGTTTTCAATTCTATAGTGTAGAACATCGATTTTTGCAAAATTTTTAAAACTGCTTTTTTTTTTTTTTTTCCAGTTTTATCAGTTGTTTTAGCATCTAACTGATTAAATGCTTTTAAAAATAATATAAAATGTAGGCACATAATCTTTACTGTCCTCCTGTCTTGAAGAACGAAGGAATCTCGACGAATGGAACCAAGACATTTTACTAAATTGCGGGAATCATCATTAGGAGGTCCAATAAGCACTTAGGGATAAACTATGAGAGTTACGTTCAATTTGATCATAAGAAAGTGAAAAGTAGCGGATCAGATCTAACGTCATCGAAACTTGCTATGTTTTTCCTACAAATTTTGCTGTGTGTCGTGTTACTAGCAATAATGCTTTAACTTGTGTTGAGTTAATATAAATTACTTAATATGGAGCGCCCTGAAAAAGAAAAGCATAAATTAGGAAAAAACGTACAAAAAAATTGAGAGTTTCCTTTTCTCCAAAATACATTTTCTAATGAAATTAACTCTACCAGAAGCATTTCTGTTGTGGGAAAAGGTAAACAATCTTTACCTCTCATTTGAAAATTCTGACTATTATATAATTATAACTATTACAATAATAGATCTCCTACCCCTCTCCCCTTCCACCGAACCACATGAGAAGACTTTCGGCTCGCCGCATATTTAGAGTGCCGCCATGCTGCACCGACACTACACATTTACAAACATCCATGCCTTTTCTGGGATTCGTGCCCAGGCCCTTCGGCACCGCAGCCCGTGACGCTAACCACTATATCGGTTGATATTATTATGCAGATAGTTAATGCTTTCAAGTTGTGCACTTAGAGGAAATAATTTTCATAACAAAATTATTTCTTTAATGTATGATATTAATGAGGGGAGAGTTATTTTAATTATTTGAAGTTTTTCTTCGAAGAGCAATACTAATTACAAAGGAATCACCAGATGAAAATTTGCTAATAATGTTTCAACTTCACTGATTTTATAGAGCTGTAAAAGGAAAATGTCCTATACTACAAATCTTATATTTACTACAAATACGTATGCTGTGACATGTTTCTTGTTCCTATATCCAAGTACTGAATTGTTTAATCTTTTATGCTCTAGTAAACATTCTAAGAAATGTGAGATTCATTGATTTAGTTGCCTGAAAAAAAGTATAAAACCCTCTTTCTAACTTTTTTACTTTGAAGAATCAACTGTAAATAAGTTAATCTGTGCTGCTTCTGTCACTTTAAAAGACTGAGTCGATATGTAATTTGACTTTAGGTTGACGAAAATATTATTATACCTTTGCCGGAGAAGGTGGGCCATGCGGCATAAGGCATACCAACTTTTTTATCAAGGCTTTTTTGATTTAACTGAAGCCATAGAGCACATTGTGTGCTCAACCAAACCAGATGCTTATGTGCATAATTAATGGAGTGTGCAATGTAAGCGAGACTCTATGGTTCTGCCGAATTCAATCATTTCATCTGCTTTCATTGTAACATTCATAACAGCATATCATTATCTATCTCACTTGGAAGGAATTCTAGCTACACTTCAGGGACGAGCTGTTGATGTTTAGGAAGTCTATAGCATGGTCCAGGAAATAACTAAGTTTTATATTTCAAATATGAAAATACAGAAAAGAGTTTTGAGAGTATATTTGATTCTGGACAAATATGTAAAAAATTAGATGTAGAGTTTAAAATGCCTCGCATCATTCGAAAGCAGGTCTATCGAAATAATACTCATTGTGATTCTGTGTTTAATTATTACAA